ATATCAGACGACATATGAATGAAAGTAACTGTTGTTCATAGACAAAATGTCGATATATCTAAATGTAGTCTTGAAGACTACAGCGAGAGTTTTTTCTAAAAGTTTTTGTATAAATTCTGCTTCATAGGAATATAAAAAAAGGTTGGCTAATATAGGAGCACAATAAGTGCCCATCGGTTTTCCAACAAATTGTTCGAAAACCTGATCTTCAAAGACTAAAAAGATGTCAGTAAGGAACTTCAGCAACCTTTTAAGATCAATCTCAGAGTTTTTGTCTGTAGATTCAGAAAAATCTTTATCTAAGTTATGTTGTCAATGACCAGTTAAAAGGAATGAAAAAATCCGAGTTTCATTTTTCTTAAAGAAGTTTTGAACATTAAAATAATTTTGCTTAAGAGTGGAAATAAACAGTGCGTTTAAAAAACTTTGGTTTCATTTAGCTATAAGGATCCTCTTACACATTTCAACTGGATTGAATTAATTTAAGTACAGAAAAGTTTTAATATTTATTGTAACAACTGGTTTCAAGTAAGAAAAAAGGAAATATTTCCTGAATGTCAGAAAATACTAGTAGTTGTTTTCAATCATTTTCTGATTTCAGTGCCATTACCACAAATAAGCATAATGGCGTGAAAAGCAATCTGAAGTTGTGAGGACTTCTTATTGTTGAATCTTCTTAATAATCATTATCATCTATACTTCTTGATCGTTAATTATCAACAATGGCATCAATAAAGCAACATTAGCACGTGTTTATCTGGAATATATAATTATAAATATAATGACAACCAAAACTTAAAGAGTAAACAGCCACGTTATTGTAAGTAACAATACACACACAACATTAAATATTCTATCTCTATTTCTTGTCACTTCCATTTCTCTTACTTTTATAGTGCACGTGATTATACAGTTAAGTTTAGACACTCCAGTCAAATTTGTTTTTAAAAATTAAGTCCTTTTCCAAATTTGTCCATTAGAACCAGCAATGCCATTTTGATAAAATGCAGAGTATAAAATATGGATGAACGGTTACCAAGCTCAAAAATCTGATTAACGGTAAAAATTGAAAGCAAAGCAACCGCAGAAACCTGAACACGATTCGTGAATATATTATGTATAAAGTGTGAAGAAAAGCACACCAGATCCCCCTTAAGGTTCATTAATACTCTGATAAGAGAGATAACTCTAACTGGTGTATATTACTATTTTTATTTAATTTTGCCCGGGGAGGTATGCTGAGAATGTGTGCATTTTACTCGCAAATCAGATTTCTTTTGGATAATTCCTTTTATAAGGAAAGATTCTATATGAGTAAGCAGAGGGAAAATGAACTTAATAAGAGCGTCATTCTTACAGAAGAAGATTATCTAAGTTTTACTCATGACTGGGTCAGGACGGCATATAGTTCGCACCTTAGGACGTGCCGTGAACAAACTGTTTCATTCTGCCTAATGCAAAAATATTAAACTCAACAGTTTTTTTTTTATCAAATTTAAACTTCATACATTATGTCTTGACCACAATGAACAATATATTGCACTATTTATGTATTAAAAAAAAAACCTCTGGAATTTCCGAGGGTCCGTGTCCTATACCCCGTGCATGCAATTATTTTGTTTGTAGTTTTTTTTATAGTTTTTTTTAAAAGATCAATCCTTATTCCTTATCTTCACCTTTTTCATTTCAAACATCATACCATATAATAAAGAAACAATAATTTCAATATATGAAATCTGCAAGTTATAATTTGGATTCTCGAGCATATTTTTTAGAAGGTCAAAGCCTTGTCTAGATTAATGCTATCTTTGAAATATTTAAATTTCGTAAAGTAGCTACAAACTTTTATTTCATAATTACATGCTTTTCTGGTTCAGCAGTTTTTGTAATTTAGTACTCTTTTTAGTTACTTGATTTGCTCTTTCGAAAAGTATCATTTGGAAATGATTTAAATTTTTTATTTGTAGTGCTGGATGCTCTGCATAAGAGAAGATTTAAACAAGCTGTTTTCATTACAGACGAAAGTTGCACTGCTTGAGTCCTTTCAAATACGAAATAATAATTAGAAGATTGATGTTTTTTTTTTAAATTTTTTTTTTAAAGATATCTTTTAACGGTCAGTATTAAGAAAAATGCATAGAGTCGTTCTTTTGCGACAAGACGTCTTCAAAGATAAGATTTTTGCCATATTTGTTCATTTGGTGCCTCTATTGTTATCAAATACCCTATTATGTACGTAAAATGTACGTAACATACTCGAGCAGAATGTTATAATTTTATATTTAATCTTTGAATACTATTTACTTAAAACACAAAGTCATCGTTTTTCAAATATAATGTATGAACAACGGCATGAAGGGAAACACAACTGTCTTTTAAATAGAGTTTTATATAATGTGTTGTAAACCAAAGTATTTTGTTTTATAAATTGAATTGGTAGTTTTTGAAATATGAGGAAAAAGACAGGATAAAATTTTCAATGACTGGCACTAAAATAAAATATATGCAATAAGATGTAAAGAACCAGAAACATCTGTCATTATAATGTCTAATTGAAGAATTTTAGTTATCTACAAAGAATTTTGACGGATGAAGTAAATCACAGAAGATGCAATACACAGTCTTGGGTCAGCACTAGTAGCTTCTCAATACTAGATTTAGTTCAGTCCAATCATGAAGTATATAGCAATGAAATATATGGAGATAACGAACAGTATTCAAGCTCAAAAGTCCATAAAACAATACAAAATAGAAGCAGAGCAAACACGGACCTCCAAACATCAGAGGTGGGATCAGGTGCCATGGAGGAGTGAGCATCCCCTGCCGACCGGTCACACCCGCCATGTGCTTCTTGTCATGATCGGGAAATAACGGAAAAATCCATCGACAATTTAGTGTGTAAATAATGGCTTAACAATTAGTATGAAAAACGTCAGTCAGCATTTGACTCAATGATAAATTGTATTTGCTGACAAGGTCATTGTATCGACCATAGAACTAAGGAAATGATGACTTTAAACGAGACAGCTGATATTCTTGTCTCATCAACTTATTTGTCAATAATTTACCTCGTTTTAGAAATTGTACATACGTAGAGCATGCTCTTGCGTATCGAATCAGCTGAGAGATATATACCCCGTATGCAGGTGATGAAGGTATATTGCTGCATAAGTAAGGGAAGTTGACGATTGAAAAGTTAAAGTCATCACGTTTATCATAAAGCTTGGTTGTTAGATTACCATTAACGTTTTTTTCAAGTAAAATATCCAAATATGAAACAGATGTGTCATACTCTGTGGTATCTTTTATCTCAAGTTCACCAGGATATATCGTATCGACATAAGAATGGAAATAGCCATTGTTTATTGACAATACGTCGTCGATATATCTAAATGTCGAGCAAAGAACGAAATGAAAACAGTAAAAATTGTCTGATCCAGAAGTCATATATTCCGTAATCTTGCCTACCATAATGAAAACAATTTTTTTTTTTTTCAAATAAGATGAGATTTCCATGGTTGGTGAACGTATAGCCTGTGTTTTTTAGTTCCAACATAGTACATGTATTGTGTCAACTTTTATCACAGATGATGTACGTAGAGCAAAAGTCGCCCGTGTGGCGCAGTGGTTAGAGCGTTTGCTCTAGAGTTGAGGAGTAAGGAGTTGATCCTTAGGTTGTGGATTCAAATCCAACAGCGAAACGTGGAGACCGGTCCTTCCGATGATACCGTATAAACCGAGGTCCCTTGTCGCAGTGGGTGCTGGTAACGATTCCTCACTGCTCAATGGCCTTGAGTACCGAGTATAGGTCAAAATGTGCAGCCCTCCACCAGCAAGTGGTAGCGTCTTCATATGAGTGAAAAAATCTCGAGAGGGAGGTTAAACAACAAACAAACTTAAAGTAAAATAGCTATCATTTAGACTCGTTAAGGAATCACCTTTCCAAAATATCTAAATTATACATCATCTCACTGGTTGTCACTGGTAATATTGCGGATTAGTAGTTCAAATTACAACCGAGAGAAAAAAATATAATGCAGCAATTTATTTTAAAGGTATAAAAGTATATCAAAGTATGGCATTACTCATCTGGTTTCCCTAGTATACTTTCTTCTCTGGAAAATAAATAAATAAAAAAAAAATAATGAAAGATTAAAAACAAAAGTTTTCATCAAAATTCTAGTTAAATATTATGGTCTGTAGAATAATCAGAACTAATATCTAGTCATTTGTACTCATCCCTCTTTTTTTTAAATACATATTCAAATATCAAACTTTTTGTTGGGAGTAGAATTGGTCAAGCTCTGTTCAAGAATTCAAATATAGCCCTCTAAATTTACATTTATTCTGAAGAAATATCCGCAATCGCTATATTCTGCTGTTCTAGTGGCATCGAAGATATCAAGTATATTCTTATGGACTTTAACAATTTTATAAGAGCACAAAAAGAACAATTCTTAAATTCTTTTCAATTATATTAGTTGAAAACTACCTGGTAAGAAGTAAAAGATTTTAATGTAATATTTTTCTTCAATATTGAAACAAATGATTTTGTTCTAATTATATTACTTAGTGAAATATTATTATATGGGTGATCTAGTAGGAATTATTGAGTGGAGTTTTGGCTTTTGAATAACCTGTTTGGATTTAAGTTTATCCTGATTCTAATTTCAGTAAGATTGGACGTTAGCTATACAAAAAGAAATTTTCTAGGTTTTATTGTATAAGGTCATTTAATTGTTCTTCCTTCAGAAAGCAGGATAGACTTACGTCTCCACTTTAACCTTAACGTTAACCATATACTGGTTAGTTTATTGTTTAAAGACTTTGAAGATATTCGTAATATTGCTCACGGTTTTTTCCTAATTTCCTATGTTAACAATAATATTCACAATTTCAATAAATGAAATACGCTTTTAGTAATTTAATGGTTTATGCTAATCACTACTTGGCTATATCCGTATGAAAACTTTAGAAAATAACTATACATTTTCGATATATTAGTAGTTTCTTAAAATTATTTTCTTACTTCTATAACCAAATCCTCCGACGTTTCCGCCTGGGAAATACCCTCCAGCTCCAGGAAATCCTAAACTACCTGTTCCTAGGCTTCCGGTAAGTCCTGAACCTGTCGGAAATCCTAGTAATCCTCCAGTACTTAATCCTCCTGGATAGGAACCTCCTAAATATCCTCCTAATCCTGTGGAAATTCCGTTAATTGGGAGAGATCCTGTTCGGAATGTTTCTGGAAAATATGTACTTCCTAACCCGGAACCGAAGCCTCCACCCAAACCTCCAAAGCCGGAACCGAAGCCTCCACCCAAACCTCCAAGGTACGGACCATAATATCTGAGGTACCATGGATAAGGATTAATTCTCAAGTCAATGAAATTCCTTCCAGGCTCCCATGGGTTTCCGCCGGGGAAGTACAGGTAATGGCTTACGACAGTAGGATAGTATGCTGTATTGTAAAGGAAGGATGAGGGATAGTATCCAGAACTGAATGAATTGGATGGATAGTATCCAGTGCTGAGTGTGTTAAAGGATGGATAATATCCGCTGCTGAAGGTATTGTAGGTGTCAGGAAGATATGTCTGGTAATTCAGATATCCACCGGAAGTATAGGGTGAAAATGTGGCGAATGTTAATCCACAGAAAAGAGATAAAATCAACAATGATTTCATTGTTATTTCTGGAAAATAAAACATGATATTTCCTGTATTAATTTGGCATTTTGTGTCTCTAATAGTCGTTTGAAATGCTAAATTCTATATTTAATATTTAAAAAACTAAGGTATACGTTTTCGTGAGTTAAATTCTTGTTCCCCTACGACCAGGTCTGTTTCCTGTGGCGAAGGAAACAGATAAGATCTTGGAGAACCAAAATATTACAAATATTATGATTTACTTTGACTAAAAAAATTGTTACTTTCTATAAATGATTCAAGATACATGTTTTCATTCCCCCCCCCCCCCTCAAATTTAACTCAAACTTTTCATCTGATTATTTGATAAGATAAGGTGATCTTTTTAAAGGTATTACTGATAAAGCAGATTAAACTACCTGACGAGGAGAAGGCTTTTTGAATCCTTACTTTATAATATATTATTTTATAAAAATGCATTAAATGACCACTACCTTATTACGAATTCAATTCTAACTCACCTTTTATGGAAGATTACTGAGTGATGTGATTGAACAAATTCACGATGGATTTATATATAAATCCTAGAGTGCAAACCTATGTGCACTGTGGTCAAGAAATGATGTATGAGGTGTGGATTTGATTTAAAAGATGACGAGGTTCATATCTTTGCGGTAGGCAGAACATAACACTCATATGTTCCCTCCATGTCGAAAAGTGTGAACTATCTGCCGTCCAGACCCATTCATAAGTTGGCAGTCTCTAATTTAGCAAACTCATTGGTCAATAGATCAAGTTAACTAGAATTCAGCAAAGTATACGTCTTTCGTTGATAAATAAAGATGGTAAAAATACATGTGTTTCAAATAATGCTAGGTAGTCATTATCCATCACGGGAAAGTTCTATATTACACTTTGTAAAGAGAACAAAAGAAGGAAAACTTAATAAACTACTCATTGAATATCACATATAATTTTATCCACATCTATACGCCAGAGGCCTCAGGGACAGTAAGTACTATCAATATGCAATGTAGATATTTCCATTTCCCACCATATTTAGGGCTGGAGACTTTTCAACTGACGAGTTTCAACGTGCACATTGAGTTTTCTAATAGTATAATTATTTTTCAAAGTATTGATAAAAAAATATTTCAGGAAAATATTTGTAACATACTTTTTTCTGACACTCAATTAAGTGAGGATATGTTTGAATAGTAAAATTAATGTCGGTATCAAAATAGGAACGTAGAAAAATCTGTAACATTGACAATTAATATTGTAATAATGTATTGTAAATAATAAGATATACATAAATTCTATAGTTGGATAGCGTTGAATTGTTCAATTCAGATTGTTTACGTTGTAATACTGGTCCATATAATTTTTAATTACCATGAAACCAGAAAGGGACATAGGCTTAACCTTCGTAAATCTGTTTGTCCATCTGTTCATAACTTTCCTCCAGAAGTCCTTAATATTAAGAATTGCAGTATTACATTTTTATTTTGTAAACTGATGAAAAGTTGCAAAGTAACCTTAGAGTCTGGAGATTTCAGCCTTTTCTTGTCTGACTGTTTATCCTTGTTTGATAAACGCCTCCTTTTTCCAAATCAATATGCTGTGCATGGCAAACTTTGAAATATTGGATTAAGATATAGTATACTATTGTGCATAGAAAAGTTGTAGATCAAATTGAGTTTCTTGAGGTTTTACGCTTTTTGATAAACTCACTACCGAATCTTAAAAGAATAATTTCATGAATTCTATTTATGAATTCTAAATGTTTTCTTTTCTTCAAAACTAATCTTTCAGATATAGGAACAATATTTGTTTTCTTTTTCATGTGCAAAACTTAATCGGAGTTTTCTGTAGTGTTAGCCCATTACAGCTCTTAAAATTAATTAATGTCGTGGGACTATTTTCTATAATGCTTATACATCTATGTATAGCCAAAATTCTCTGTTTCAGAGTGTTAAGCATTGGCATTTATTAAAATATATATAAATCAAAAGATTTTTGGGACAGGTAGGGGCAATATTGTTTTAAGAATAAATTGTTATTTTGTGCTTTTGGTGAATTGCAAAATAAAATTTATAATCAGAGATGTTTCTGAATATGAATCGAATCCGAATCTGAAAAGGAATCTGAAACGAATCTGAATCGGAGGGATCTCGATCCCGATTTGAAAACTGACAAAAATATCAGCACTAGAAAAGTCCTAAATTATACAATGAGTAATAACAAGCATGGTAATATTTGAGTATTATTATCTTTCTTTGATTTATTTTTATTTTTTTATTTTATTTTTCACCTGTATGATGACGACAATTATTTGGAATTTAAATTTGAAAAATGTTTAATTTGAAACTCCTCCTTCTTCCGAATTTAACTAGTTCATAATTACTTTTACGAAATACGAGTACAAGTACATGCATCTTATGTTTATTATGTCATTAAAAAATATCATGTAACAATAATGAAACAAAATAGTGGAGGTAATTAGGGTTTTGTCACTGAAATGGGGATGCTAAGGGAAAAGACAAATTCTATAGACTGAATGACAGAACAGGTACCCTTTCGATTCACAGGAAAAGCTGCTCGTAAAGTATTGTTGTTATATTATTCACCTATTTAAATTATTTGTTACTCGTAAGAGTCGTGTTCTGGACCCTATTTTTAAAAAATATTTTTGTGTAAATGTATACATACGATTCATTTTATATATTTAAATGTAATTGAAAATTATGTCGGATGAATAACTTTCTCAGCAACCCAATGGCGACATTTTTTTTCGAAAGTTTTCGGCGATTGACATTGATGTCTACAACTTTCTAGTTTCCTTTCATTTCTTGATTTACTTTGTTTTAATTTACTTGATTGGCGAAGAATGTAGCTTGTTAAAATGAGTAGTAAAAAGTTTAATTTGTCTCTTATATCTCAACGATTTTTGCCTGTCTCCTCCTGTCTTTATTATCTGACAATTGAACACAATTCTTGCGAAAAACGAATATCTAATGAATTGAAAAATACAATTATACAAATATAGCTTCGTGTGTATTGAAAAGACACGTTTTACAACCTATAATATGTAATGTGGATGATCTGTAGGATGCGGTTACAGTACGGGAATGGGGCGAAACTGAACAAAAATTTCTTAACGAGCCCAAAACAAAAGGCTAAAAACTTTATTATGAGGGACACAATTTTGATAATTTTGATCTGATTATTTTGTGTAGTATATAATGGGAAAATTAATAGGAAGGGGGAGGGGGTGACTGGCCTCCAATACTTCCCCAGTTCTTAAGGGCTTGAAGTCATACCAATAATTTTGACGACTTGAACTGAGAGGCCGTTCAGTAGTGACCAAGTGGTGGAAGGTGTCAAAGTAGTCAAACCCAGACCCCAAATTCCACCCCCTATTTTTCAGAAAGCAAAGATGAACTTGCCAGCCGCCCTCTCCCCTCCTTCCTTGGAAAAAACGGACTCGGCGTAAGTTGGTCGAGGAGAATTACACAAGCCCACACACAGATAGGTTTTTTAAACGTCTGGAGAGAGTTGGGATTTTTTGTCAAAAAATATCAGAGTCGGAGAAATTGTGTGATCATTTATCTGCCAATAGGAATTTATTACTATGCCCTCCTCCCGCCATAACTAAAATTCTGGGGCCCGTTTTACAAAAGAACTTACGACTAAGACCAAAAACTTTAGTTGAATGTAAAATTTTGCAAAATTAATTATTCTGTTTGAAATTGCTAGCATTAAAATATCTTGTTAAATTCTTTTTAAAAAGATTAAAACCATTTTCAAATCAATGTAAATAAGAAAGTAATTAGCAGAATTAAATTTTGGTCTTAGTCGTAAGTTTTTTTGTAAAACGGGCCCGTGGTTCACCCGTGATATTTTAAACACATTCCCTAGCCCCCAAGAAAAAATAAATCTAGCTTACTTTATAAACGCTTATTTCAAGTAATATACAAATATAACATCCATGTACGATTTAAATCATGGACTTTATTACTTCCAGGTTATGGTGATGGTGTTTGGGGGGGGGGGGGTAGGGGCACAAAAACATTAAACTCTTTATATAGGTTACAGATTGATTTAGCAAAGTTAAAAAAAACAAACAGTAACCATAATTTAGTTATCATGTATATATTTGTAAATTTTCAAATCGGGATCGAGATCCCTCCGATTCAGATTCGTTTCATATTCAGAAACATCTATATCAATGCTACAATTTGAAATAATGTTTGATGCATTAATTCGTAGATGTACTAATTAGGTAGTGCGAGAAAGGTATATGAATATAATGATATGATTATGCAGCTCATAAAATCAGTAAGAGATTCGAATTCTCATATCAATTATTTTACTGAAAAAAACTACAGTACAGAAATGAATACGTAACATATACATATATATATATATATATATATATATATATATATATATATATATATATATATATATATATATATATATATATATATATATATATATAGTAATACGTAATAGACTGGATAAGATATGTGAGGCAAAAAATGAAGATATTTTTCTGCGGTAACTTAACATAAAACAAGTTATCGTTGCATGATAAAAAATGATCAATATTTTGTTCTGTCCCATTCATAGGAGTTCACTTCCTGGTGTTGTTAATTCATTCATCAATGTATTAAGTAAAGTACAATTAAGTTAAACCTCACTTAATTGCTGAGAGACAAGCCTTTTGACATTTCGAATAATTTGAAGTTTTCTAACATTGCCATATTTACATATCAGTTACATATCAGTTTTAGTTTATCTTCAGTTGTAATTGAAGGAATGATGATATTAAATCATTAACAAGGCAGAATCACAGGTGCTTGGGGACGGGACCCCCCCCCCCGTGTTCCGTACCCCAAGGGTTCTTTGACTTTTTTAAAATAAAATAATTTTCTATTACATATTCACAAAGTATTACAATTGAAAAATCCAAAATATAACCTAAAACTAACCTTTTATAAAAATTCACACTCTCTGATACTAAAAGAGAAACGTTGG